TATGAGTGTGAGTGTGTGTGAGTATGTGTGTGTATGAGTATGTGTGTGTATGAGTGTGAGTGTATATGAGTATGTGTGTGTATGAGTATGTGTGTATGAGTATGTGTGTGTATGAGTATGTGTGTATATGAGTGTGTATGAGTGTGTGTGTATATGAGTGTGAGTGTGTGTATGAGTATGTGTGTATATGAGTGTGTGTGTATGAGTATGTGTGTATATGAGTGTGTGTGTGTATGAGTGTGTGTGTGTGTGTGTATATGAGTGTGAGTGTGTGTATATGAGTGTGTGTATGAGTGTGTGTGTGTGTATATGAGTGTGAGTGTGTGTATGAGTATGTGTGTATATGAGTGTGTGTGTGTATGAGTGTGTATATGAGTGTGAGTGTGTGTATGAGTATGTGTGTATATGAGTGTGTGTGTGTATGAGTATGTGTGTATATGAGTGTGTGTGTGTGTGTGTGTCTGTGTATATGAATCTATAAAGGTTATTTTATTTTTATATGTTCATGTAAGTTCCACGAATGAAGGCCTTAAAAGGTCTTAAATCTGAGCCAAAAGACTTAATTCCATTAAGTCCTGGCATTAAATGTTGCAAAAAAAAATGAATATCTTCCTCAGTATTTCCATCTTGTTTTCCAGTACAAATATCTAAACATCCTTAAATCAAGATACATTTACTTGAGAAGTACAATCAAGATATGAAGTCTTGTTTTCAGGGTTGCCAGATTGAGTCAACGGTTTTCAGCACCCTTTAAGAAAAACCCACCTGAAACATTTAATGCCGAAAGAATGTGATAGAGTTTTATCACCATGTCAACCAGTGTTGATAAGGACCATTTTACCTCCTTAATGATCATGACAGTACAAAACTATAAAACTGAATCAGTTTCCCGGCCAGGAGAACAGTGCAACAGGAAATGCATCAAAACAAAAGAGAATGAGCAAATATGACAAAAATGTCCAAACCTAAAGCATGTCAAATATTTGCAAACGGCAGCCCAAAAAATGTACGAACTCATTTAAAACAAATGCATCATTTTCAGTGTCAACAGCAAAAACAAGCCAATGCATATGTAGACAAAAAACCCCAAAAGATCAGAATTAAGCAGCGTAATTAGTGCAACGAGGTAACTGTTAGTGTGAACGCACACGCTCATGCACACACCGCTACAGCCGAAGAAAATGCACATACTGTAGATGCAACTTATATTTATGCCACTTTGGCATTGCAGTCACTTTAATATACAGTTACAAGTTCAAATTTGGTCCCTTATTGCACTGAAAACCCGTCACTCATGTCTCAGCAACACAAGAAGGTGTGTGTATGAGTATGTGTGTATATGAGTGTGTGTGTGTATGAGTATGTGTGTATATGAGTGTGTGTGTGTGTGTGTGTCTGTGTATATGAATCTATAAAGGTTATTTTATTTTTATATGTTCATGTAAGTTCCACGAATGAAGGCCTTAAAAGGTCTTAAATCTGAGCCAAAAGACTTAATTCCATTAAGTCCTGGCATTAAATGTTGCAAAAAAAAATGAATATCTTCCTCAGTATTTCCATCTTGTTTTCCAGTACAAATATCTAAACATCCTTAAATCAAGATACATTTACTTGAGAAGTACAATCAAGATATGAAGTCTTGTTTTCAGGGTTGCCAGATTGAGTCAACGGTTTTCAGCACCCTTTAAGAAAAACCCACCTGAAACATTTAATGCCGAAAGAATGTGATAGAGTTTTATCACCGGCATATAGTATAATAAGCAGGTTTCAATTAAGCGGTTAATCAGGTCACGCGCTCCGCGGCCGAATGTTTAAAGGTGTGTGAAATATTCCCTGCGCGGTGGCAGAACAAAACCCTGTGTCTTACCTTTTGAAACGGCAAGTCAATAATTTGACGACGCCATCTACATTCAGCAGCAGGAACGATAGAGCTTCAGGAAACCTCACGCGGCTCTGCACGGTTTGCTCATTTGAATATTCTAATTTCAGCGTGTTCACGTCACTCATCCGCTTGTGAAATTTAATTATTCCATTAAAGTCAAAAACCACACATGAACATATAAAAATAAAATAACCTTTACAAAACTTAATTTCAAGTTGTGTAAACTTAATTTTCAGCGCCGTTAAACTGCTGTCAGCGCCTCCAGGCTCTCGGTCCTCCGTTAACCCTAACCCTAACGCTAACCTAACCCTAACTAACGCTAACCCAACCCTAACCCTAACTAACGCTAACCTAACCCTAACCCTAACTAACCCTAACCCTAACCAGTGCTCGAACATCTGCAGCCGCAGAGCCTCCAAACCACTCCGTCACTGTCCCGAAGCTTCTCTCGGACTGCGATCAGAAACAGAACTCGCTGAACGTGTGAAGAAAAGCGTCTTCCTCATGAGTGTAAGCCGAGCCGCACATGACCTGCAGAACACATTAGTAGCTCAATGGTACGCACTGTTTATTTATATTTTCTTGCATGTCATGCGGGGCTCGGTATAAATGTATTGTTCTGTCAAAGGAGAAACTTCTCTGCAAACCCCTGAACTCAGACCGACTCCTTTCAGCTCTCTGGACTCGTGTTCTTGTTCGAATGCATTTGTGTGCTGCGTGTTTGTTATATTGTATGTCTTGAAGCTTTGAGCAGTTTAACACTTAAAGGCAGAGTAAGGGATTTCTGGTAGCTAATGTTGATATTTGAAATCACCAAAACAAACACGCCCCTACCCCAAAAGGGTCTTGCCCCTATTTTGATAGCTCCGCCCCACACATACGTACGCAACCCAGGCAACGATTAGTTCTGTGAAACAAAGCAAAACCAATATTACACCGTGTCTACGGACGTGAGCGGCGCGGTGCAACAAATCCCCGAGACAGAAAACTGCTGCCGGGTTCTATTTATGACGTGCTGACAAATTTCAAATGGTTTTCAACGGTCGTTTGATCGCGTCCAGTGTAGGCAGACTTTAGCTGTTGTAGACACGGTGTTACTCACCTATTGAGAAGAAACAAAGCAACCTCGGCGTCCGATCGCAGGCCTCCGCTCCTTGAGTTCTCTCCAGCGATGGAAAGCTGATCCGATATTTACACGGGTCCTACTTCTTAACCTTATCGTTCCGCAGACGTTTTCCTCTTTTGTTTTTTATCCACCATCTCTATCTCTCTGTCGCTCGGCTCGGCTAATGTCCGTCCCATGCACTGAAAGCTCTCTCCTCCACATCAAGAGTAGACACGCCCCTTATTGCTGATTGGCAACAAGTTTGTTTTGCGATTCGGCCCAAATCAGTTTTCTAAAGTGTTTTTGAAAAATCACATACCCCGCCTTTAAAGCAGCACTATGTAACTTTTTCTGTGTTCAAAATTTACTAAATGTACATAATGAGCGAGTACAT